GTGACTTGGGGGACGGGGGGGGGGGGTGTTGCGCACAGCATTTTAGCCAACCTTGATAAATAGATATTACGATCGAAGTCTTGGGAGTCTAGTTTCTCCGCCCTTATACTATAGGGTGTTCTCTGTTTCAGTCCCCTTCAGGGTCCTTACTATAAGAGAGGCGTAGCATGTTGGGGAGCATCACAGGGAACCCTAATATAGAGAACGAACGAGATCTGGCAGCACAGGGGTCGCAAATTCCAGGAATTCCCTATCTAACCTAAACCCTAAACACCCTGTCTGATTACCAAGACCATCCAAGACCCCTACGACACGCCATGAAACCCTCATAAACCCTGCTCAAATCATTCAGTCCTCACTACCGCTGCTTTAGGGCCTTTAGTCTCCATTGTAGTTCCTTTGTTTTTGGTTTAACCAATTATATCTATTCAGGATTTTATAAGGTATCCCCAAAAAAGGAACTACAATGGAGACTATGACTATGGTCCAGGGTTTGTAAAAGAAAGCCGAAAGAGTCGGCCCAGCCTCCTTGTGGAGCTGCGCAGCCTTCCTCGGCTCTCTAACAACGAAAGACTGCTCAGAGTTCTAAGCCAAAAGAGTGCAACAAATGCTTACAAATGCCTCGCAAGCCGAACTTGGCTCAACTTTGCTCGCGAATCTTTCTTCCACTCTCCCTCGGGCATGTAGTGCATGCAGGGTATCCTACGACCGTCTTGTGGCTCAGTCACGGATGGCCCAGCTGTACACTGTACACGTTTTTGTTGGCCACTTGTGAACGCCCGCAGCGTTCATGGCCAAAACCGTCTGCAACTTCACATACCAAAAGGTGCGAAAACAAGACCTTAGTGATTAAAAGGTAGAAGAGCAGTTTTGATGTTTCTTGCGCTCACGAGCCGACTTTCCTTCGACTTTCTTTTGCTGCTGCACCAGAAAGCGCAGCCTTTCACTCACTGCATGTGGCAATTCTGGCAGGCTCGCTGGGTTGATCTCAGCATTGAGTGGCAACCCTTGGACAAGCTGTATCGTCCGTGCACAAGACTTCTCAAGTTTTTGACGGTCGTCGTCTTGTCCAAGTCTTTCGAGTCCCCCTCCATGCAAAAGTACACCCTGCCTGCATGTACTTCTTCGAGCCAACCTCCAGCATTGGATGCAACCTCACGCATCATTTTCCTGACTTCATTGAATTTCTTGCTGTGCCGATCACAAAGCTTTTCGTCTGAATATCAGAATCTGATTCAAATTCGATGATCAAGGCCCTGGACGTGTGCGGCCTTGTTTGCGCCTTTGTTCCGTATCTTGTGTCTTTGCTTGGTGCCGCATTTTCTCTGGATTGTTGCAGGATTTTCACGTTGACAGCTTGGGGTTCTGATCTACCAGCTTGGAAAAGTGCACAAAAACGTCATGTTCAGTGCCTTGCACCGTGATGAATCCATAGGCCTTGTCAGGGAACAACTTCTTCACGATCCCTGAAGGCATCACGTTCGATGTTGTGCTTTTGCACACTGTCAGTGTGCAAAAGCACAGTGTCTGAGCAGTGATCCCCCACTGTCTTGATCTCAAATTGGCTGTCAAACGAACGGCCCAAATGGAAAGCATGCAACTGGAACAACACTGGGCGCGACGCGTAGAATCATTGAGTTTGAAATGTACAAGCAATGTATGCATATACACATCACAAGCTTTCCCGATCTTTCCCGGAAGCCAGGCAAGGAATTGTACCACTAAGGTTATCATGTCGGGTTTTGTTCGTAAGGAACTCTCATGACACGAATCACGGTTCGGTCAAATTGCAGTCTCTGATGATGTACGTCAAGAATAGCTGCATGTCACCATGTTGACGTTTATGGGGATGACAAAGACCCATTAAGCTTACTGTTACTTGCTTGAATACGAAGTACAGTCCTATTCATGGCCTTCCTTACAGATCCAACCATGTCCGGAAAGGTTGTCGCTTACACCAAACCCGACTGAAGACACATGGCACCGAACCGAATTCACTTTGAATAGACTTGAATGAAACGGGAAACATCAGTTCTGTTTGCAACTTCACCTATACCCTGTGGCTTAAGTTCTTCAGGCTTCATTCGAAAATCCCTCAACCCTTGGATTCGGTAAGATGCTCTTTGAACACGGCCTTTTTACATCTGAAGTTGGACCATCTCAGCTTCGGGGTTAGATCTTCAGTCAGTATTTAGGGACCCTTAGGGCTGAGTTCTGTTGGAAATGAGGCAACATGAAAACCCTAAACCCTAAACCCTAAAACCCTAAAACACAAAAACCCTTTAAAACCCTAAAACCCTAAACCCTAAACCCTAAAACCCTAAAATCCTTTAAAACCCTAAAACCCCTTAAAACCCTAAAACCCTAAAATCCTTTAAAACCCTAAAACCCCTTAAAACTCTAAAACACTAAAACCCTTTAAAACCCTAAAACCCTAAAATCCTTTAAAGCCCTAAAACCCTAAACCCTAAACCCACAGCCACGCAGAGCCAGAACTCTTGCTAGCCAGCTGCTGCCGTCGGCTGGTGAACGGTGGCTCGTCCACGAGGCCCTCCTGAAGGACCCAGGGCTTAACTGGGTTCTTGTTAGTTTAGGGTTTAGGGTTTAGGGTTTAGGGTTTAGGGTTTAGGGTTTAGGGGATTTAATTTAAGTTACCATGATAGGGATCTATAGTAAATAATATGGTTTCCTTATTATGGTAACTTAAATTAAATCCCTTAACAAGAACCCAGTTAAGGGTGGGGGTGTTCAGGATAATATGGGTAGTTCTCTAAATAAGGGTCCCTTTTGGGTCCAAATATAGCACGGCACCCTTATAACAAGGATCCGAAAAGGGGCCCTAACTTAGAAAACTTCCCATATAGGGGCCTTAGGATAAGTAGAAAAGGGTTTCGGAGTATATTATACTTAAGGGAACCCTCACAATAGTAGTGGCAATTGTTTCGACCCCGATGTTACACCTAGATGTGAGGGTCAGTAGTTCCGGGTGCCAGGTACGTAGCAGGAATGTAGGCCCCTAAACCCTAAACCCTAGACCCTAAACCCATGGCAGAGCTGCTCTGCCGAGAGACGCCTCAGGGTCCATCAGGCGATCGACATTGAACCCTTCAACCCTAATAAACCCTGAACCCTAAACCCGAATAAACCCGAATATACCCTAAAACCTAATAAACGCCAGTAAAACCTAAAACCTAATAAACCCTACAAAACCCTACACAAAACCCAATAAACCCCAATAAACCCTATAAGCCCTTAGTCTAAACCCTAAACCCCTCCACCCTCATCCCTGGCCGGCTCTGAGAGCAAATCGAAGCGGGAAGCGTACCAAGCTTCAACGGTGGGATGTACGGTTTTAGGGTGCATGTTTTACGGTTTCGGGTTTAGGTTTGAGGGTTTAGGGTTTGGGGTTTAGGGTTTAGGGTTTAGGGTTTCGGGTTTAGGGTTTAGGGTTGAGGGTTTTGGGGTTATAGCCACAGGACCTACAAAGCTATAGGCTCGGGGTAAGGACTCCAGTAGGGGTCCGGCTTATTGAAACTAAGCCACCTGCCGCACTGGTGGTTCCGGGATGTGCCACGGATGCTTTGCATCGTGGTCCTCCATGAGAGCGTGGGATGTGAACGATTCGGGCTTTGGGTTTAGGTCTGTTAGGGTTATGAAAGGGCTCAGGCCTTTGTATTAGTGGCATGCCCACAAACCTGTCTGAGGAAAAACCAGTACGAGTAACGAAACCATAATCGCAAAAACTACCGTAAACTCGCACGGACAGCATTGTCTGAGCCCTGAACCCAGGCCTTAAACTCCAAAACCCTACTCCCAAACAATGACAGTGACTTCCATTGCTGACGCTGGGACCTGGCCAATCTCCAAGTTCGGACAAAATGCAGCAAACAGGCTAATTTTTGGATCTTTTGAAGTATTGGACTTGTGTTCTGTTCTTTGCATACAGGCTACGCAGCTAAGCCCTTGTAACCAGAGAGGCTTGTCTGCTCTGTTGAGCGTCACTATCTCTACCCATTCAACCCTTCCATACTCGGACCCGACGGAAAACACATCAGGGGCCGATGCCTATGAGGCCCCATAGACCTTGCAGACGACTACACGGTGATCTGTCTGAGCACTGCAGTTGGTACTGCTACTATGATATGGTACTATGGTTTCACATGATTTAACCACAGCTTGACCCTGAAGATGAGGACGCTGTGACTGCGCTGTCTAGGGCTCCGTACTTATGATTTCCTTATAAAGATTACAAAAGATTTAGGTTTCCAGGGGCCCTCCATCTACCGTTGACGAACAACTAAGGGTTACGGCTTGCAAACCAAGGCTGTAAGCGCAGCAAGCCTGAAGAACACAAACGCTTCTAGCCCCGAGCCACCTCTTTCAGGGCTGTCGCTTCGGTCAGAAGTTGCTGCTTGCGGTCAATCTTCATGTCGTTGGCCTGAGGCGATTGAGCTTTTCTGGTTATGTAGGGTTTATGGTTTCGGGTTTATCCCCAACAGGTAGGGTTTAGGGCTTGGGGTTTAGAGCTTTGGATTCGGTCATTGCCGCAGAGGAGATGGCCTCTTCCTATGCTGTCCTCGGGATGAGGTAGGTTTTTAGGGTTTTAGGGTTTGAACGTACCTGGGTTCAATAGGAGAGGAGGGGCATGAGTTCATCATCATTAGGACTAAACCCTAAACCCTGAGCCCTAGACTCTAGACATCCTTTCTGTGGAATGCGCGGCTTATGTCAATGTCTAGCAGTCTGGCGCTTTCCAGCTGCCAGGGTGGAGCACCTGAACCAGTCTTAGGGCTCAGGGTTTGGCACTTTGGGGTTCCCTAAACCCTAACCCTTTATCCTTAGTTCAACCCAAAACCTACAAACCCTAAAGTTTATGGTTTACCCATAGGCCCCATAGTAGTTCCTTTTTGGAATGACCTAATAGGATTCTAAGTATGAACCCCAAAAAGGAACTACTATGGGGCCTATGGGTAGGGTCGAACCAGTCGTGTAGCTTGACCGACAAATCAAAGACTCCTCTGACTCGGTCGGGACCCCCAAGCTGGCCTGGCTACGTACATACACTGTTTTTGGTTTAGGGTTTAGGGTTTAGGGTTTTTGGTTTAGGGTTTAGGGTTTATGTACTTGCTCATGCGTTTAAAGAATTTGTCCATTCGATTGTCAGTTCAATCTATCTTTATCTCCTCAGTCACTCGTATTATGACCGTTCAGATTTCTACGTATCTTTTAGTTGAATTTAAAACAGTCTTGTCAGCAGTTCATCTATATGTGTGTGTCCATTCTTACATCCTGCCCATGTACTGGTTCCACTCTGCGGGTCTATAGCATCTGGCCTTCTGACCTTTATGCGACACATCTTGGCTCCGGCAAGTGCCGACGAAACACGTGTAAGTGTCAGGCGATGTCACGACATGGGATATGTGGCTGATCGGATTGCTGGGTTCTACGGGCCCTTTCCATGAATTGGGGTTGTCCTATCCCTATAAACCCTAAACCCTGAACCCTACTACATGAAGTTCCCTTTGCTGCGGCGATGGACAGGTTTGGCTCTGGGCTTCGGCTGAGGGGGTGCTTTGCCCCGGCACGTGCTTCCTAACGAAACTCCCGAAGGGTTTAGGGTTTAGGGCCCTGAAACTTGAACTTCAAGTCCTATGATCCTCTAGGCTTATAACTTGGTACCAAAACTTTTCAGCCCAAGCCATCTCGAAGGATTCCCTCCATAGGGCAAGCGAGGGGCCGTCCAATAGTTCGGAACCTTCTCTGCATTCCAGTGGGGTGGATAGACATGGCTCAGCTCATGCCCATTATCGCCATTGAAGATGCGGCCTGGTTCCGGGTTGGAGGCTCGGTGTAGTTTTATGCCGTCTCCTTAACCCTAAACCCTAAACCCTAAACCCTAAACCCTAAACCCTAAGCCGTCTCCTGGGGGTTTTTGTTACGGGGGCTGCATACGGCTCCATAAGTCTTCATAGCTTGCTAGGTCTTACGAATGAAAGGCTCCAGGAGTCCCTTGCTCGTCTCTGCCTTTCCCTTCGAACTGTACGGTTTAGGGTTTAGGGTTTAGGGTTTAGGGTTTAGGGTTTTGGGTTTTGGGTTTTTTTGAGCAACTGTTTTCCAATCCGCAGAAAATTTAGGGTTTAGGGTTTAGGGTTGAGGTTGAGCGTGAGAGTTGGACGTTTGGGTCTCGAAATGCTCAAGCAGGCTCTCTAGGGCTGACAGAGACGGGCCAGGTCCTTCCCCAAACCTTGCAATGGGACCTTCTGTTCGGAACCAGCGGCTGCTTAACAGCCTCATGTAACGATGATTGGTATGAAGTCGAGGCTTGAGGCAACGGAGCTTCAGGGATTTTGGGGCTTCAGGGATTTGGGGCTTGATTGGTTCATGGTTTAAGGGTTCAGAATTATGTAAGATTAAGAGATCAAAGGAATTTTGAAGGCACAGTCTTTTGGTAGCCTTGTGATTCGGTGTAGCACGTAGCACTGTGGGCTTCCGGTGCGTCATGTCAGTACTCCTTCAACTCCAAGGCGAGACGTACTGAAACGCTGACCTAGAGATCGTGTCCCGCGACCCTGAAGCGATACATGGACAGCATCGCAGCATGTTCTAGGCAGCCTAGTAGTCTAGTACCAGGATCTCTATGTTGATGGCTCTCACTGCTCAGTGCGTACGGTCGGCAACCTTACGTACAGGATTTCTGGAGCATACATGACCTTTATCCTCAAACCATTTACGCCAAGACCCTAAACACTCAGGTATAAGTCCGAAGATGTCGTACCATCACCGCATGCCATATCCGAATCGGAACACGAGGTCTACGAGAGCGGTGTGCGACTATCAGTGACGGTGGAAATAGCAGTGATAGATACAGAGGAAGCATGTCCAGATATACAGACTAAACCTGCGGCCGTTGGTGGCGGTCGTGGTGGCAGTAGTAGTAGTAGTAGTAGTAGTAGTAGTAGTAGTAGTAGTACATAGTAGAAGAGTGTAGTAGTGTACGGAGCCCCAGTTCTGCCAAAGCTCCCCGGAGCTGCTTGACGACATTTTTGCGCGCTGCGCCAGCCTGAGGACGTTCAGGGGTATGGTTTAGGGCTTGTCAACATAGCATGCGGGTTGAGAGTCTGAGGCTTGGGGTAAAGACGTTACAGTATTCGAGCTTATAGATAGAAAAATTCAGATAGATGGGTCGGTAAGTAGATAGATAGTGGACAGATAGATAGATCGATAACTAGTTAGCTAGCTAGCTAGCTAGGCAGATAGAAAGATACACATATGGATGGGTGATTAGGTCGATCGATAGATGGATAGATAGCTAGATACCTAACTAGACGGATAGATAGATAGATCGATAGATAGATATATAGTTAGACAGGTCGTTAGATAAAAAGATAGATAGATAGATAGATAGATAGATAGATAGGTAGATAGATAGGTAGGCGGATCGCTAGATAGATAGATATATATATATATAGATCGGTAGATAGATCGATCGATAGGTAGATAGATAGATGGATAGATCGATAGATACATAGGTGGATCGATAGATAGATAGATAGATAGATAGATAGATAGACCAAGAGGTTTTGGGGTTGAGAGTCTCGGAAGATAGATAGGTTTTGAGGTTGAGAGTCTCGGATAGTAACTGAGATTTTGAAACTTCGAACTTCAAGAGCGGAAACGCCAATGCGGAGAAGGGCTTGGAGGCTTTCTTGACGCTTGCTAGAACCTCCAAACTCCCAATCTCAGCCGAACATCATCATCGCCCTCTCTCTCTCTCTCTGTCTCTATATACATACATATATATATATGTATATATATATATATATATATTTGTTTTTTGGTTTATGTATTTGTTTATTTGTTTAGAAACATGCATAAACGGTCCTAACACTGGGGCCTAAGACTTCCTTTCATGGGACCACAGCTGCCCCACTCCCAGGTTAGGCCGTGGTGCCCCGAAGGATCTCAACAAGGGTCGTCTTCTAAATTAGGGTCCCTTTGGGGGGGGGGGTCCTTTTTATAAGGGTGCCGTACTATATTGGGGACCCATAAAAGGACCCTAATTTAGAGAACTACCCATAAAGCTTATGATAGAGGGAATGTGCAGAATGTTGAGAAGAAAATCATTCCATAATATGTCAGCTTAGCTGAAGCGAAGTGTTAAAGGCCCATGTAGCACCCATACAAAAATATCTAGAATCCTACAAAACCCCGATAAAACTCTACCAGCAATACATAGTCATTCTACTAGCACTTCCCCGACTTCGCAAAAGGCAACTCCATGGAGCTTTACAGCGGCAGAGCCTCGTCGTAGCCCCAAGAGTATCCTGGAGTGTGGCGTACGGTTTAGGGTTTAGGGTTTAGGGGTTCGGGTTCAGGGTTTACCCTAAACCCTAAACCCTAAACCAAAACCCAAAACCCTAAACCTTAAACCCTAAACCCTAAACCCTAAACCCTAAACCCTAAACCTTAAACCCAAAACCCTAAACCTTAAACCCTAAACCCTAAACCCTGCTTTTGAGGTTTGGAGACCGAAACTTGC